GCAACAATAATTAAAAGAATACACCGAGATTTATAGTTTCAAAAAGCTAAAAAGCGTAATGTTCATCAGCTTTCGCCGAAGCATGTGGTTGAGGAGATTAATGGGAATACACTGTGATACTTCATAAAGCACTAGTTTACCTACATGACTGAAAAATGGTCTATTTATCATCGAAAATGAAGAGAATAAAATGTACAAAACTGGTTCCGTCAATGTAAAGAAAGTTTCAGTAACTGATTTGTGATTGTCGCTGGATTCTTGTATAATGGGAATTGAAAAGAAGAAGAGTAGAAAAAAATGTTAAAATCAATTCAACGTACTGCAAAGAAAAAGTTTCATTTCAAATATTTACAGAAGAAATTCCATTTCTTTATCCTGCTGAATTTAAAAGAGCAAAATTGCATCAAGACAAAGGAACAAATCTACTTCGAAAGAAACCAACGCATTCCTTGAAAAAAATGTGATGTATGTATTGCATATACACCTTTTTAACGTATTTCTGCACAATTCACTGATATTTAACCAACGGTCTATTGTGATTTTGATTTCAAATTTTACGAAAGGCACATCTATTATGGAAATCATGATACAGACTTATAGTTCAGTAAAAAAAGCTATCGGATCGAACATTGTAAAAAAGTATCTTTTACAATTTGAATCTTTATTAAACGGCACTGAAACCGTTCTAAAAATGTGTAAACTTTCTCTGTAACAAGGTCTTCTATAACAAGGACAGGTATATCTGTATGTTATAAGGACTGCTATAACAAAAGACACTCTGTAACAAGGTTCTCTATATTCTTCTGTAACAAGGACCCCGAATTTTAGTGCAATGTCTAGCTCTAGGATATGACTGGAATTTCTGTAATAATTTTCTGATTTCGAAAGTAGTCAGTATGAATTTTGTCAAAAATTTTGATACAGTTTCTCCAAACTTATTTCTTTAAATTTTTTCCTTTTATAAAGTGGGTAGTTCAAAGGCACATTTGAAGAGGTCAGAAATATGTTATAAACTTTCAGGGAATATTTCAGAAAACTTTCTAATAATGGCCGAATTTATGACCGTTGCCTCAAGCACCAAAAGAGACTATTTTGAAAAACAGGAGCTTCACTTTAGCCTGCAACATATCATTGAATACCTTTAGAGACTTTAATGTTACAGGGCTTTTATATTTATTCTGATAAATTTGCAGAATAACAATGTGTTGTTTAATGTGATCAGTTTTGAAAGGCCCCCCATTAATTATTTTCTTTACATATGGAATAATAAAGTTGAGGTAAAGAGGAATCTTTTTCCCAAATACGAAGCAGCACATATTTGCATGTTTTTTAAATATGAAGACCTTTGCTGCCACTTACCGTAGCTTAATTAGCTTTGCTGCCGATGTCTAGCTTGGCGCCATCTCTTACAGAGAGTCGTAATCATGCCGTCGTTGCCTCCGTATCCTTGAACTTAATAAGTGGCCTCGGGACCTTATTGAGATGTTTAAGTTTCAAATAGTCACCAAACTACTCCAGACCGAAAAATTTGGAAAGACTGCTGCGCTATAAGCTTTTTCTAGTCAAAACATCTTTGACCAAAATATATTTTGCTTTTGTAAAGGGAAAAGATACGAGGTCAATGAGGTATTACTTACATGAGCCACTCTGTGGATAGGAAAAGGGAGATGAATTGTGGCCTGTTGATTCCAGCTGCCGCCATTATCGTCAGCAAATAGACTGGATTACCAGATCCCGCAGTTGCTGGTGCCGAAATCAGCAGCAAGATGGCAGTGACGCTGCAAAAGATAACCTCGATTAATTATACTTCATGTAATGTTCCCAATAAGCACTGATGAAATCACATAGTCTAGCGAATTTTTTTCCTCGACTCAATCAGATTCTTCTTTCAGATATTGAACAGATACAATTAATTTAAATTTATTATTTCTTATCTAGTCAATACAGAGTAAAAGACTGTGCCTTTTGTACGGACATCTATGAATTCCAAACTTAAAGTTAAGTTAATTCAGTTTTATTATTCAGAATGTTATGTGCATTTAAAAATTGATGTGAAACATTGTTATTACATATTTTGTCTCTTTCATGTTTCTTGGACGCTGATTGATATCACAAAATTACACTTTCTAGAATCATTAGGTTATTTCAAAGCAGGAGACATGAAACATGAGCAATGCCCTCGCGGGACTCGAATCTGGACCTCTCGCGCCGAGTGTACTACCGTTACACCACGAAGGCATGCTGAAAGGAAGGAGAAAATACCCAATACGTCAAATGGATCTTTAAAAAATGTGCAAAAAGATTCAGTAAATCTCTGAAGGAGTTCCATTATAGCCTTTCGTATTTATAACCCACTCTTAGCGTTTTGTCAGGAATAAAAAAAAAAAAAAAAAAAAAAAAAAAAAAAAAAAAAAAAAATCAGAAATTATTGCTTATAATAGGCCTTTTTATCTTAAACTCCGTAAATTACTGAAGATTCTTTAATACTTCAATAATTTTTTCAAGCATCCTTGAAATACTTTCCAAATTTTTATAAATATTTTCATTTGCTTAAAAACGAAGACACAAATAGGAGTCTTCTGGAGGCACTTTTTTACTACTGTAAGGAATTTAATGTTAGTCCCAGTTATTAATATTGCATTTCGAAGTTTTAAGCGCGTTTATTCGCAGCATATAAATCGTGTGATGCTGCCATCTGTTATCGAAAATATAAAACAAAAATCGGACGTGACGCAGATTTTTTTTTTACCATCATGCGAAAAAAAGCACTGAACACTGAAGAGGATGAAAACATTAAAAATCCCAATAAATAATGACACCTATATATTGAATAATCAATATTTTAGCATATGATACAGTATGTTATAAGATTAATGTTTACATTTCATATGAATCAATATATATTAATTTTGGACTCATATATTTTTTATCGAACAATTTCTTTAAACGTGTTTTGAAGAGATAGCTTTATTTTGTCAAATAATGATCAAAGCTATATAAAGTGGATCCCTAAATAACAAAAGCCTCTCATCACAAATAAATCGATTCATTAAAAAATAATCCTAATAAAAAAAAAAGGATCGGATAACAAACGGTTTCTCAATTTACGAATATCAGGTTGTGAAAAAATTATTTTCAAAGGTGTTTCTAAATAATCTCTGATGCAGAATTAATAACCAGGGTCTTCACCATTTTAACAATTTCCGTTGTTTAACTGTGATTATGAAAATCTGCAACAAATGATTCACAGGATTATGAATTTGGTCTGGGGAAAATTATGGTTAGATTGTACTCCAAGAAGAGAACTGAGGGCTTCGACACTGATGGAGATTTTTGTGTTGTCTAAAGCTGCGATTCTCAACCGGTGGTACGCGTACCACGCAAGCGAAAAATAGGTGGTACACAAAGAAACAAAGTATTATAACCATTAAATTCAAAAATTTCGCGAAGAAAAAGAACAACTGATAAAAATTTCTTGTGATCGATCGAATTCTAACTGAAGATTTCAAATATAAAGGCATTTCAAAAAAAACTATTAAATTTTTATTGCCTTTTTACACTTTGTTATTTTTCACAACGTATTTGTTCGAACAAAGATATTCTTCTATGTTATATTTGAAAAACAAATAAACCACCACATTAAAAGTAGATCCTAATTTATGGTTAAAACTAAGTGAAAAAAGACCAGACATAAAGAAAGTGATCTCTCTTAAACAGGCCCAAATTTCACATTAAATTTATGATAAAAATATTATAACTTAAATTTTGATAATTAAATTTTAACCAATTTTTAATCTAATACTTTTATGCGTATATATTTAATACAAATAGCCAATAGGTTGTGCAAATGGCAAAATATGTATTTTTGAATATTTCTATTGAGAAATTAAAAAATAATGATTGTAAAATGTACTGGTAGTACAAAAATTTTTCAATTTTTGTTTAGATGATACACTATAGCCAAAAGGTTGAGAATCACTGGTCTAAAGGATTACGTCTATCGATAAAACCAAGAGCTTGGAAGGTAACAATGAAGATGCTCAGGAGTTACCAAAGAAATATAAAATTTAGCCTTAATGAGAACAAACAGGAACAACTTTAGAACAGTATCCCAAGAGGCGATTATGGTGAAAATTTATCAAAGGAAGAAGAAGCGTTCTTTGATTCGCAAAATTTGTGCAAGATGGGGTAAGTTCTACTTAATGATATCAAATTACTCCGATAAAGCAGTAGCAAACTACAGCATACGCATTTCCAATGACAATGCCATATCTCATTTTTGAAACACTTTAAAATGCAGACGAGAGCAAATAACACGGGATAAATTTTAAATGAATCGCAGGTTCAGTGAGTTGGTTGACTATTCATTGAATCGAGTATTTTTCCTTTAATTTTTGTAGTGTAAACGCAAAAATATTCATTATCTGGTTTCATTGTATCGGGTAAAAGAAATAGATTTTTTGGTACGGAATTAAGTTTGACAGTTGAATTGGGATACAGGATTGATTATTTCATCTTTCATTTTTGGAAGCTGCCTATGAAATGTTTTCAGATGATGGATGAAAACGTTACTATTTAATGGAGGAAAAGAGTCTTCATGACCCATGATGAAGGGCATTAAATTTATCGTGGAGGGAGGGGAGGCACAGTTCGCACAGCTGTCGCAGGGTTGGTGAAAACTCGTGAAGTGTTCGTGGCCACAAACAACTTCGACAACGATATGATAGTGCAGGATTCAGATGTTAGAAAATTTCATGCGAGTATCACTAGAAATGAAACAACAAAATCGCAGACTATTGCAGTACCCGCCGCTAATTAAAATCACTTCCGTTCCGAACGCATTTAAGTTTATTAAGCGCCCATTTTATTAAATAGCGATTTATATATTGCAGACAGTGATTTCAGTTTTAAATTTTGCACGTAGAATAATAACTAACAACTGGTTCATTAATTAATCCTAAAATAATAATTAATAAATAAAAAATCTGAAAGCTAAATATAGAAATAGAAACAATTTTTAGCGTTATAGCTTGAAACAATTCTAGAAAATTAATTTCAATGCCTCTCGACTTTTCGCTTTCAACTGAGACATTTGTATTATTTTTATTAGTTCATCATTAACTATAATTTCTGGTTTAAATATATTACAGAATGTTGTTTGAGAAATTTCCAGGTTAAATGCAGTTTTTTCCTTTCCGCAGTTATCAAGATCATTAAAATCTTTTAATAATTTATCCCTTTTTTTTTCAAGTTTAAGCCCTTTTTGCTTGCCATTTCGATATAAAGTTAAGCAGACAGTATACTAATAATGCGAATTCCATTAAGGTATTCAAATTGCAAAATTTACGTTTCTAGCCAGTAGAAAGATTGCTTTTGTCTGTTTAGTCGATCTGCCACTTCATGATTACAGGCATGACTAATGCTTTCCTTGACTTTTTTTTTTTTTTTTTTCAATCTACAGCTATCACTTCCTTTCAATTCAAAGGCTCTTAATGTGCGGTAGTGCTAAGAGGCATTTCATTAATTTTTTTAATTAGTCTTTGTTAATACAACGTGTCTACTAAAAAGGGAAGCTTTTTGAATGTGGAAACAGTAAAAGATGGAATATAGATTTGCACTCCCACTTCCCATCAGCTGGAATTCGCGAAGGAACGCTTCATTTATTTACAGTGGCACTAGAGGATTGTTTTCTTTTAACTTTAAGGTAAGGAAATTCTGTTCCCTTTTTTATTGATTAGTATCTATTTATTTTGGTTTCTGAAAATTTGAACGTAATAAGTGGCTAGGTTTATTAACCAGTTTAATAAGCGGTAGATACTGTAGTATACAGTTAAATAAACGTTGTTATACACTTTTATATGTAATTTACAACTATACAACTTTAATTTGTTGGGATGGTGTTTTTACACACTATCATATATTTTTAGATGTTTTTTTCCCCCATTAAGTAGCATGTTCCTCCGCCCAAAACAAATTATTCGGCATCGAAATTGTAGCTGCATGAGAAGCAACGAAGATCATTTACTGTAATTTCGAGAAACCACCTTTTCTTGTAATCTAGAAGTCCACCAAAACGTAGGGTAGTTCTTAATTCAGATCTGGGTTTTGGAATATGATTATTTTGCAGCATATTTTTTGCACAAAATCTAACGGAAAATAGCATAAAAAGAATTTTAAAAAAATAAAGGTTTCAGATTTTAAATTACGTCCAAAGAGGCGTTTTTTTTTTAGTATTTTCCGTGTTACCTTTATACCTTTATTTATTAAATATCATGTTCTTCGCACTTAAACCATAAAATTCAGATAAATTACAATTATCGCAAAATAATTTTATAATTATTTTGCGATAAAAAGCAATTATCGCAAAATAATTTTAAAATGAGCATACCTTTAGAATTTACAATACAGTCTCGTGCGCTGGAGATAAAAGTTTTTTTTTTTTTTTTCCCTCCCGTACAGTGTTACCATTGCTCGCTTTGAAATCGTTTAGTTTGTTAATCAAAAATTCGTTGAAGTGTTCCAAAATATGAAATCGATAATAGAACAAATGGACTTCCAGATACCCATATTTGCAGGAAGATTACGTCATTCAAAACTGCATGGCTCTAGGTACCGTTGTTTTATCACAATGCGAGAAACATACATACATTTATGCAGATTTTTCGTTACTTAATTTCTTTAAATATAATACAGGGCGATAATATTTGGTAGCAACAATTTGAAAAGTGAAACAACGCTTATCGTGAAACGACACAAAATGCCAAAACGAAATCAATAGTCCTTTTGGGCAAATTGCCCCTTTGAACTAAAAATAATCTAACAGTTGCAACAAAAATAAAAAAAAATGGGGTGAAAAATTTCGAAATTCGCGTGTTTATCCAGCAACTGCCGCAAAATCTGATTTTCGCGAAATCTTAGAGAACGATCTACAGTTCTCGTCGCAATAAAGTTACAGTAAAACCGATGAATTATAACTATAGAGAAATAACATTTAGACACAGAATACTCACCATATGACGACTGTTTCCGCCAAACCGAGGTCGATACCTTCCAGCTGTGCCAGGAAAATGGCCGACAAGGGCAGATAGAAGGTACCTCCGTTCATGTGAACCACCATTCCGAGAGGCAAGACGAATCTTGTGACGCACCGGTTCACGTGGTTAGATTCTTCTGCACACCGCACAGTAGCAGGTAGTGTAGCGGCGCTGTAAAAAACCAAAATAAGTAAACAATATAAACAGCCCCGTTTAAAGGAAGTTAGCTTTACAAAGCATTCGTACTATAGTACAAGTATCATAGTCGGAATTTCATTGTTGGTAACGTGACATTGCTACGTTATCAAATGTGGTATAAAGTATAGTGAACCCTCTCATGGCGATCACCTCTCACAAATGACCACCTGTACAAGTATTTTTGTGGAAAGTTCAGGACTTCTGAAGTTTTTCTTAAGGTAAAACAAATTTTATCAACTTATCATCGGGCCTATTCAATCTATTACGAACTCATCCGCACGCAACAATTATGGGAAGTTACAATTGCTTCCTGCTGTTGCTAAGAACTTCTTTAAGACGTCAGTTTCTTTGGTGACAGCAGAAACTCTGTCATCGGTTTGTCATTCTCAAAAATCTCAAGGAATTTAGTATAAAATCTGACTCCCAAGCAGCTATTCTAGCTATTAAGAATCCCTTACCTTCCTCTCCATTGATATCCGACATAAATTCTCTTCTTGGCAAAATTCCAAACTACAAAATTAAAATTTCATGGATCAAAGGACATAGTGGCCATTTTGGTAATGATCAGGCAGATGAACTAGCCAAAGAAGCAGCTATTAATCAAGATGGTACTGAAATTATCATTCCGTGGCCTCGCTCAAATTTCAAGTACCAAAAACAACTTCCTTCAAAATCTTGGCAAGATTTGTGGAACAATGCTCCACAGGGAAGACGCACATGTAACTTTATCTCCAATGTAAGCTTCGCATCTCTGTACTCGAATCCTTCACTAAATTACTTTATAACAGGTCATGGACCCTTCCCCACATATTTCTACGCAAGAAATTTGACAAATTCTGATATCTGTATATGTGGGGAACAGGGAACTCCTGATCATCACACTTTCTCATGCTCCTTAACTGAGGATATTCACATAAAATCCCAAAATTGACCCCTGGCATTCAAAGGTTTTTAATTTAAAGATAACATCAGTATCCAAAGTTTCAGAAAATTATGCAACGACTCCCTTCCTACGGCCTAGATCTCTGTCAAGTGTAAGTCCAATACTGCTTAAACTTAGTGAAGTTTTACTGCTTGTGATTATGGACAAAATGTCTCAGCTCGTGAACTTTATAAACTGCAATAATATTTGGACACCCACCTCTTTAGCATTATTATTACAATTCTTTTAACATGTGTTTGCGGTACTAATTATAATTATCTTATTATGTTTATCTGTTTATTAATTATGTTTATCTCCTATTTTTGTTGCACCAAATCAGATATTCAATTTATCTTGTGAATCTCAAATTGTATTCCGACTATTTTTTAATCTACTTATTCCCTACATCATTATTTTTAATAAATACTGGATGCGGGGCGTACTGTGGGATTGCACGATGTACCATAATAGGCAAACTCTAGACTTTTTGGAAAGCTTCAGTCTATGCAAATTCGTATAAAACTTGCCCTTTTTTTTAAGAGTTTGTATGGGAAGGCATTACCAGTTGACCTATGGTATATCGCTGGTGTCCTCCATACTTTTACCTTTACCTTTATCTGTCATCGGTTTGTTGTTTCATGGCTGAAACTCTCTCTTCTATTTGTTCTTTGACAGAAGAAACTCTTTCTTCAGTTTGTCCAACTTTATTCTGAACGGCTCCATTCTGTCTTCCATAGCTTCAAATTTGTTTTCTATTATTTCCATTTCTATGCAATTTTTTCATTTCATTTACTCTTGACCTGCTTTGATCTTTTTTGAACAGCTTACATCTCTTCTTTCAATGCAGCAAAGTCTGCCAGCAGCTGTCTTAATTGCTCCTACATCACTTTTGCGGGTTCGAATCCCACTTCTGGCATCAAATTTGTTGATGCATATGGGTTCGTAATAGATTGAATGCACACAAGTTCGATGATAGGTGATAAGATTTATTTTATCTAAAGAAAAAAAAAAACCCTCCAGAAGTCTAGAAATTTCCACAGAAATACTCATACAAGTGTTAACAGTATCACAAAGTACAATCAGTAGTTACATTTCAAACTACTAAGAATGTTAAGCACAACACAAGCAAAGCGCATTTGAAAGACTAAGCTTCCAATACTCCGAAGTCGCCCTGAACTAGCAGCTCACAAAAACAACTGAGAGCAGATGCTCTCTTCGGACTTTTATAGTTTTCAATCAGCCGCCAAAATATTTCTAGTACCGAGATCGTCGAAGGTGTTGGCCGTTAAACTTCGTGCTCCGATTTTAGTGCATTTTAAAGGTGGAAATAGCTAAAGTTGGTATTTTTCATGTTTTAAAATGTGTGCATAAAGTGTTCCCGATCAAGTAGATACCAATTTTGTGAAATTCGACCTGCAAATTTCAAAGTTATGGTGATTTTTGGATACTTAGTTGTGGTATAGTGTTGCGAGATTCCAGCAATGGGGTCTTCGTTTGTGAAGTTTTGGATCTGTTTTTGTGCCAAACAGGTGTAGAAAATGTTCTATAGCTTCCGTGGATTGCATCGATTTGCGTTTATATGTATTTTAGATAGTATTTACTGATTTATCTTCATTTTGCATTTTTTTACATTGTCACTTTGTGTTCATAGACTGATATTAAGATAAAGACTGTTTCGAATTAATTATGATCCTTTTAATGAAATTAATTTCAATTTTCTTTTAAATATTAATGTTTTTATGATTTTATGACTTACATAAAATTTTTGGACAGTTTTATCACAAATAGGATAATTAATTAAGATTTTTATACTATGGTACAAAAAGGACGCTATCTTACACCACTGTTCTTCGAAATTTTTAAGAGTCTGTAACCGGAAGTTGCCATACGCATATAAAGTATGTACTAAATTTATATGTTGTTACTGATTATAATATCTAGAGAAGTAATGTTTTTGAACTTGTCAAACTTACGTTCTAAGACTGTGGTTCTTTTCCTGGAAACTCCATAGACTATATGTTAAATTCATGCTTATATTACTACTTGAAGTCAAGTGATAATTGTTTTAATTTCTGTGCTATAATGTTCCTTGGGGTCTTTTTTGTTAATTTAATAATTAAAATCGAACATAAATTAAATAATAAAGATGCAGCGAAACTTAAAAAGTTTGTAAGCAATATCAGATCACATTCAAACAAACATGAATTATACATAGCTAACCTGGAAGGTTTTAACGCCTGCTTGAAGGAAAGAGTCTCTTCATTGGAGGAAAAGAATTCTTTGTTGGAAAAAAGACTTTTGGAGTTTGAGTTAAAATTTAATCAGTTAACACAGTTTGACCAAGCCACTGTCTTATCACATTCGGAAATAGCGTCCGATTTACAGGCTTGTTATTCACATAGTTTAGACGGTAAATTTGATAAAGTGAATTCGGAGTTTTCTTCTGCAGAAATTGTTAAGCATACTTCGAAGCCTTCACAGGTAAGGAAGATTCCAGCTAAACAGGATCGCGTTTTGATTATCAAGGCTAAAGATACAAGTAGATCGCCAAACAGTATATTAAGATGCAATTAGTTCAGATATTAAACCGTAAAGGCTCGGAGTAAATATTTTACAAGTTCGTCCAACAAGAGCCAAGAAGTTACTTGTTCGTTGTAAAGAGGAAGAGCAATTGGGTGACATTGAAAGAAAGCCGTTTTGGAAAACTCGGATTATGAAGGAACATTTGGACTTGAGAATTCCAAGACTGCCCGGGGAATCTTTCATAGTTTTGGGGGTTCCTCAGGATACTTCTTCTGAGGAACTATAAATAGCTTTTCAAGAACTCTTTTCTTCAGGTGAGAAGAATTTTGTTTTTCCTAGGGAACCCAGATCGAGAACAGACGGTACGTGCAACTGGCTTGTTGAGGTGTTTAGAGAACAGGCACAATTGTTGAAGGACCTGAAGAGAGTCTATATTGGTTTCGCATAGTGTTTCTTTCGAGAATTTCATAGTGACGCGTTGTTATCAGTGTCAAGCCTTTGGGTCATTTAAGTCGAATTTGCAAAAATCCACCGGCCTGTGCAAAGTGCGGGAAGGGCCACCTTACTCAGGAGTGCTCCGAAAGCATTGCAAATTGCGTCAATTGTACTCACTCCAACGCCTCTGCAGGAACGAAGTACGAGACATCACATCAGGCTAGCTCATCACAATGTCCGCTATACAGGCAGGAGATTCTTCGCCTCAGCAACACTCAGAAGTGTGACAGGCTTAATGAACTTACCGGTTACTCAGAGCATCTCGGGTCTGACTTAGTGCACAAGTAAATTTACAGAGATCAAGGGCAGCTACTTTAAATTTTATTGATTTTATGATTAGAAATGAAATACAGCTCGCTCTCTTACAAGAACCTTATGTCAAAGATGGCAAGATCATTGGATTACCAAACTTATAAAAAGTAAGATATTCTTTTCTGGTTCTTTTAAAGCGTTGATAATATATAACGGCCCTCTAAATCCGTTTTTTTGTGGCGAGAACTTTAGATGTAGTGACAATTCGCTTGCAATTTATCAATAGAAGTATTATTATTACTAAAGTTTATTTTCCACCGACGGACGATTTAGATAGCAATTTGACCGAACTTTGTTCACATATTATTCATAATGATCATTTGCTTATTGCGGGTCATTTTAATGCTTCGAGTCCTCTTTGGGGTGGAAATCAAGAAGATCATAGGGCTGCTAAAGTTCTTGATTTTATCCTAGAACACAGACTGTGTGTTCTTAATTCCTCTGATTCAAAGGCAACATTCTTGACTGTCAGAGACAAGGGTTGGCCTGATATTACATTAGCTTCATATCCTTTTGAAATTTCTATAGCAAATTGGAGGGTGTTGACAGGTTTGTCTATTAGTGATCATCAAATTATTTTGTTTGGAATTAGAATCTCGGAAGACATAATTTTGAAACGTAGATTCAAAACTTCATATGGTGGACATGAAAAATTCATTGAGAAACTTCGTCCACGAATTTCTCAATTTATAAATTTATTTGAATCTAATACTTCTCGAGG